CAAATCTACATCCACCCCGAATAACTGAACTACAATTATCTCCGTTTGTGAGTCATCCATAGAGTGGGATTCGTACGTTTTCGTAACGCTCCCGAATTCCCTCCACACAAGTAAGGTTGTCGAGATCGCGTTTTAAAAAATTTCAACTATTTCTTTGCTCAGAGACTCGAAGATATTTTACTATTTTAAATCAGAAAAATCACTGATGCGAAACCGTAACATTTCAGGTAGCGAAAAGTGCACACACCAGTCATCGGGTACACAACGATGATGTTTTAATTTGTTTTTACTAAATCGAGTTACGAGCGCGTGTAGCTGCACCCAGAGCCTGAACCTAAGTAAAAATAGTCCACTAGGCAAAATCAAATTTTAGTGCCTTTAAAAAAAAACTTGAGCTCTTATTTTAACTTAGCCCCTCTTCCTATTTTTTATGTGTCAAATACTTTTACGAGTCAATTTTGAAAATGCCGTCCTTACTGAAGTGCCGTTCTAGACAGGTCCCTAACTCAAATATACCTTGTGTCGAACCTGGTTGCACCTCAATTGGTACGATCGCCGAAATCAACCCGCGGCAGACAAAAAGGAAAACTTTTCCGTGCAATGCGAATAGAGCGATCAATTTAACTCGTGTCCATACGAAAAAGGCGTTTCTCGAGTGCCGTTGCTCGTGGCCGCGCCGGATTTCAGGTGCACGTGCGTCCGCCGCACAGTGGGAGGAATTGCATTTCTAGCTGGCCAAAAATAGAAAATATAGGTATGGTGATTAACGATTACAACCAGGAATATTTGTTGCCACTAATATGACGATGGTAAATATATCACATTACGTAATAATTGTTAATTAAAGAACTGATAGGAGTAGGTAAAGTACTAAAAGATTATTGAATTTAGCGTATCATATGGTAATCGCTTGTTGTTCACGCAGCTTTCATTTTAGATTGTCCATTGTCGTTATTTCATGAGTAAAAATCTAATTGTTTTTTGCTAAATCAAAAATGGATTAACCAATAGAAATAAGTAAGTTACATTTGTTCTAAGTACTATTTATTAATTAAAATGTCGTAATAAAAATGCATAGATATCATGAATTTAAAGAAATTCAACTACATTTAATTTTCATTGTGTAGACATTTTTTTAGAGGCTCTTAGAGGTGTTGCCCCAATTTGCCCCTTATTGCAATAAATATATTTTTATAGATAAAAGTAGCAACGTAAAAAATCGCTGTTTATTTGAAGTTTTGAAAAATAATGTTTTTTGCTTTAACATCAAGTACTTATGAATTACGAAACGCAATGATTACTTACACAATTCATAGGCTGGGAGAAAAATGGTAGTTTGTAAAGCAATGAGGAAGTTGATAAGTGTATTAAAAAAAAAGTTGAAGGATTTATAGTATTTAAGTTTAAGAAGAAATGGTTAGATTCAAATCACTGTTTGACTAATTTTTAAAAAAAAAAATGATGTGGTTAGATTTAGAATTTAAAATTCCTTTCTTAAAGAAATGTGAAGAATCTTATGAAACTCCTATAAGTTCTGGTAGGCCACGTAAATCATTTTTAGAGTCAAGTGATCGTTCTAAGTGCAGGAAAATAAAAAAACCTGAGAGAAATTACTTCATCAAATAAATGAATCTGTGCAGTAAAATCGACATTGTATGTTTAAGAAAAACGTGCTGCATCCGATCTTGTTTCCCACGCAACCGAGTATTCTCCTCAACGTGCGATAAAGATTAGAAAATTATACAAAAATGAAGCGAAAAATAAATATAGTTCTTACACAGATGATGAGGCTGTAGCATTTATCATTGATACTTGCATGACTAAAAATTCGTATGATAAAATAGATTAGATACTAAAAAACATGATGCTGATATATACCTTTCGTATGATAGAGTTCAGTTAGCTAAAGATAGATGTTACCCTGAAAATATTATTATAAGCGAAATAATTCTACTTCAGAGACAAGGGAAAGGCAAAGGAAGATGCCCAAGAGGCAAGTAATAAAAACTATAATCGATTCAGAGTACATCATTCTCGAAAATCATAACGTATTTATACAAACACACATCTTTTTAATTTCTTATTAGTATTATCTGATCTATTAATTATAAGTTTAAGAACACAACCTAACAAATTAAAAACTAAATTACCTCTAGAAACCATTAATTTACCTAATATCGAAAGCTCAGAACTGAAAAAATAGAAACTAGTTATAGTGAAATAAGTAGTAGTTATTCTGAATAATTATTAATGTTTTTTATTTTTATTAATTTTTTTGTTATCTAATTAAGTATCAGATAAATTAAATATTTGAAAATAATGTATTTTTTTTTAAAGTTCTTATATAAATGCTTACTGTTAAAAAATAAAATTATTTTGTTTGTTGTAATATTATTCAACTTCATAACTGAGGTAAGTTATTAAAATTAAAATAAGAACATGTTTGTGTATATTAAATCAATAAAAAAAATATTTATTTGTGAGTGTCGAACATTGTTTGATAGGTGCTAAATTTTTGGCCAGCTAGAAATGCAATTCCTTCCACTGTGCGTCGGAGATATTGGTGAGAGGACGGGGCAGCGAAGGTTAGAGCCCTGGGACCCGTCGTCTCAGTCTTTTATACGAAATTATTTTTATAATCTAATTTGTCATAACACAAGATGCAAACTTCAATATTTTTGTTATATAAAGTATGTACAAGGCGAACATAGAACAAATATTGACCGAACAAGTGTAAGCAAAGGGGCCTGGAACCGATCGGCCCCGGGACCAAAGCTTTACCGAGCCATTTTTTATTCTGAGGCAGAACTGAAGCAATGCGCTCACTAGGTTGTAAGATTGTCATACTCAGAGCTTTTTTTTACTATCTAGTATGTACATTAGTGATCGTTAGTGATCATAGTGATAATGACGCTGAGACGTAACTGACTATAATTTAAGTAACAGTGAACTGATATAATAATAATTAAGAATAAAGTATAAACAGATATAATATATATACAAGTTATAAAGTTTAATATTAGACGCTATGAGTAACAAACATCTGCTGTATATTGTGTGGAGTTGTTAAACCAGGTCATACGGACGTCCATGTTTTAATCTACGTTGAGGCGGATGTACGTGGAGTTTATAGTGAAGTGAGCCAGAAGAGTTGAGCAGTGAAGTATGGAAGTTTTTTGAGGTTTTTATGTAGTCTATGATTTCTTGGATCTGAAGGTATTTGTGAAGGTTTAAATTCCTTATAAACTAAGGTGCATTTGCAATAATACGTAGCACTTTATTTTGATAAATTTGAATTTTATTGATGTGAGTGGTTGCGAATTTTCCCCAGACCAGACAGACTAGAAAGATAGAAAGGCTCACAGCTTTTAATATGTATAATATGATTCGGAAAATTCTGAAAAATAGTAATTAGGTTTCTAGCAAAACAAGAAATAATATTTCTTAAAATAAGTTAATTTTATATATTTTTGCACCCCTTAGCTTTCGAGTACCCAAGGCAAGTGCCTCGCTCACTTTACCCTAGTTACGGCTCTGCCCGGGGCCTTCAAAAGTTTTCGCCGGCTTTGGCGTTTGGGCGTGAGCGTCTATTTTGACTAACCGTGTTCATAATTTTTCAGACGGCTTATCGGTATCGCGATAACGTTGCGTCGTCGGCCACCCATATTTATCCGCGTTCGGAATGCGAAACGATAACAACGTTAACAAAAACAATAAACAGTATCTAATAATGGTTCACGGAAAACAATGGACCGCGAACACGTCACGGTGTTCCGAGCGGACAAAAAACGGTCGTTGCTAGTGCTGGTCGGACGAATCTTACACGACGTCCGAGTTAAGTTCGTGGAGCGGATCCACGAATGGAGGAATGGAGAACTGTGAGGGCCAAGTTATTTTGAAGATGCCACTTATTTGGCCTTAAAATGGATTATAAATGTATATCTTGTAACAAAAAAAAAACACACAATAAGATTGTATAATATGTGTTTATTCATAATTCTCATTGAAAACGTTCATATTTATTTTATTTTATGGTGTCTTACATGGCTTAGAGATGTTTCACTGTATTATACAATACGATCAGTGGCGTCATTTGAGTTGTTGCAATTGAAGAATTTGTTCCAGTCCAGTATTAATTTCGACCTATAATCGGCACACTTGAAAAATATAAGAAGTCTTTAAGAGGCCGATTTTGTCAACAAATATTAACTGTGGGTCAACTGACCACCTGACCCCCCTCCCACCAAATGTGTGTGCCCTTGTGTCCGAGTCGCGCAACCCGCGCGCGGACGACCGTTCTTCACGTGTGATACCGAAAGCGTCGACCGAACGAAACACATGCATTGGCCGTCGTCTACGATTCTACCGATACGTTTTCGAACGTTCGATCGGCGAAGAAAACCGAGAACGTTTTGCGTTTTTCCGCACAAAAGTTGTTCTCTCTCACTCTCTTTCCATTCATCTTTTAACCTAACTCGCGTACGCGTTGAGTCAGAGCCGGTTTTGATAAAACATCCAGGGGGATGATGGGGTTATTTCAAATTTGTTGACCCCCCCCCCCCCCCCGTAAATACATATATCAATCGAAGAATACAATTTGCTTACGACCCTATTACACATTACATAACTTTCATTTTTTTGTTTCATAATTTAAACGGTCTAATGATATTGGAATATTGAATATAGTAAAAAGCCCACGAATCCGACTGTAATCTCAAAAAAATCCCGATCGAACCCGACTAGCTTATTAGTTCTAGTTGTAGGTCCGTACTTTTCGATAACGTGTCTATTGTTATCGGTTCAATGTTACACGCTGATGCGAAAAAAAATAATTAAAAAAAATCAAAGAGGGAGGCGAGCACCCCCTTCGCCATTCCCCAAATATCGTCACTGCACGCGGTGGTAGGGGTGGCGGCGGCGGCGGCGGCGGCGGCGGTGACAAGTGCGCGCGCCGTAGTCGTTCGCGGCACATGCGAAAAAATCTTGGGGGGGTAGTCGCTCCGCGGCGCACACACGTTACCGCCGTAAAAGAGCATTCGTACGTGGCCGACGCGCGTGCGATTACCGTCGTTGCGTCCGCGAGATAGTATATCTCTCGTGTGTGTTCGCGCTCGTGTTCTTGTTTAATTTTTTTTGGTTTTCCTTTTTTTTTTCTTTCTATTTGTTTATTCGGGTTTTTTTTCCCTCCCCGTTCGGATATATTATTACTTCGATGCGTTACGCGCGTCATCCTGTGTCGGGAAGTGTTTTTTGACGTTTTGTCCGACCGACTATTGTTGTCGTGAAGATCTGAAACAATGTTCCGCGCGACAGTATCCGCGAGTCGTTGATCGTTGTTCGCAGCACGTCCGGCAACCACGATCGACGCGTCGACGCCTTCGCACACCGTAAGTTGTCCAAAACAATAACATGTCCGTCGTTACACGGTAGACGCATTTTTTTTTTTTTTTTTTTTTTGTGAACCCTTCGTCTTCCAGCCCCGCATTTCGGATCTATCCGTGATTGTTAAAAAATTGAAAAAAAATGTTTCACAACTTTTGAAATAGACACCGACGAAAACGATTTGTTCATTCCGAAACCGGTAGCGATTCGAAGCTTCAAAATTCAAAACGGAAGTTCTAATACCGATGTTATATTGTTTTAACAGTTCGAACTTAAATTATTTCATAATAATAAATAAGTCAATATTTTCATTACGTCAACATGTTATTTGAATCGGTTTTGTTAGAGAAATTTAAAAAAAAAAAAAAACTATATACTACCGATTTGTTCATAATTTTTGATGATACGTTTTTCCAGCGTACCTGTAAACGACTGTAGGATATACTGTATTTCTAAATATGTGACATAATTATCGTTTATACAAAATATGCCTTTTAATAGTTTATTTTATTTTCAAAATTAGTATTGTGTGATTACTCTGTTACTCAAAAATGTTTTCGATTTTCTGAACAATAATAATTATAATAATATTACTAATAAAACAAAACGTTCTTAAGTATTAATTAAATTATATTGTTGTACGTCATGTCATAAAATTAATTTCATAATCATGAATATTTACTCTTATTTACTTCATAGCTGTGGCGCAATAAGAAACCATTACGTATAAATTGTTTAATTTTTTATTTAAATTATACGATTTTAAAAATCAGTTTACCATTGTATATGGTGTACAAAATGTCTTCATGACGATGAAAACATAATAATATTTTTTAATGTCAAATACCTACTGTAATGTCGAAAATATAAATCATTATAGATTCTTGGCCGATAATTATACTGCTTGTAACAAGATTTACGTGGTAGAAGTGTGGTCTTAGGTTTTTTTAAATCTAAGTTCAACTCAATATTAAAATAATATTTCGAAATGTATGAGTGTTTTTACAACAGCAAATACAACTGCCGTCGAAAATTGTTCCGTTTACTTAAAAAGCAGAACTTAAAAGTCGACGAGTCACGTTTTAATAGTTACCTAACTCGTCAGATTAATTATTGCGCTTGAATGAATGTATTAATACCATTGAATGTCCATGAGGTTTTATAATTTATTTTTTAATTTTCTATTTTTGAAACCGTTTTGAATTGCTAGCAAAACGTGATTAATGCGCCTATATAGTTATAACTTACGCTAATTAGTGATATAACATTCGTGTGCAATTTACATAAACGTTTTTTATCAAGTGGTTTAAAGAATATTTAATATATTTTGGAATTTCATAGCGTTTGAAGACATTCCGTTTGGGTATGTTCATTATATTATTATTTATGGTGTAACCCACTGATTTTTTATATCTTAAATTTAAAATCAACTATGGAATGTTATACCTACAATTAATATTGTAATTTTTCCGTAGAATATACCTTTTATTACAATTCATAATCTTACTTTATTACTACATTTTCATATAATGTTTTTCTTTGGAAATTGTATTCAAACACATAAAATCTAATACATATTATAATATACATACTAAACATTTTTAACGAAGCCATGACGGTTCGGGTAGTAACTGTAATAAAATAACTATTTAAAGTTTACCGTCCAGGTATAGTCAATTTGAGATTTTGAGTAGAGCAATAAGTAACTTATATTATTTCGGCTAAAAATTATAATTCAAAATATTGGTCAGGTATATATTTTAAATCCTGATCAGAACAAGAACTATAATGTAATAGTTTTTTTTATATTATATATACCATACATACTTTATAAACATATATAAAGCCGTTTTAAGTTAAAAAAAAAAAAAAAAAAGTTGAGATTCTAATTTGACAATTTACATAATTTTTGAAACGGATACATTTTGAATTTTCTCATAATTTTAATAAAAGTAATAATCAAAGAAGTACAAATATTTGTTATTTGAAAACTTATCAGTTTTTTTTTCTTACTGTATCTACTTACACTCTTACAGTTATAAAACTTTGTTGCTTCTTTCTAGAGTTAATTTGTACACAAAATATATTATACAAATTTTCATATAGAAGTTGAAAGTTTAAACGAAATGGAATTTTTTTAATTTTTTTAACTACAACGTTAATTTTAATATATGTATTTTTTTCTGTATAAATAAAACGGATTATCTTTGAATAGATAAGACTACATTTTAATATTCTAATATGAATTAATACATTGAATAAAGCACTTATATTGTTATTTGAACTCTTCTGAAACGTTAAAAATGAAAATTAAGGTGAAACACGTTAGTTTGTATTTCGATTGTTAAGGGTTTGAACTGAATACCATGTTACTCATAATGTAATATTCATAATTATATGCAATCAATTGAAAAACCTATAATTCATAATTTTGTTATGAGCCCATACAATTTGATTGGAATGTAGGAAATTGATTTTGTAGGGAATTCATTTCCAAATGCGACAATTTATTACGACACAGATTGTTATAATATTGTAATTTGATGTTACAATATGTTCTTCGATGAATTGATTATGGTGTGTAACGCATTATGTGGTGTATTTTATAGTATCAACAATTATGAGCGGCATTATAAAGTGTATAATTTAAGTGAAAATAAAAATGCGTAAATATATAGAATATTATTGATTGTTAGTAATTATAATATAATTATTAATACGATTGTAGAAAATATTTCAACTTCTATTTATATAGTTTGAATTGATTTTTAAGTAATGATACATGGTTATTTTGTACTGTTTTAATTTACTATTATAGGTACTGTATTATACAATAAATAAATTATAATATAATCTTTATATATATATATATATATATATATATATATATATATATATATATATATGTTTAGTCTGTAAAACTTTCTGGGATCTATCGATATGTATAATCAAACGAGAAAATATTGTTTCTTATTCTAATTATTTGTTTTCTATTATTTTAAATCACATTAAGCCTTAATGTATGTATGTACCTTATAATAATTTTATATAATAATTATAATCATAGCTACAATAATTGTTATTTATTTATTTTTTATGTTTAAAAATGCATTAATTTATAATTAAGTGAAATTTTAATAAAATTGGTTATCAATAGATTTTTTTTTCTGTAATGTAGTTCACAGCAGGTACCGTGGCTAAATTGGGTCCAAAAAAATGCACCGCTGAAAAAAGTTTGGGAACCGCTGTATTAAGGTATTTACTTAATAGTAACGGAGAACAATTTAATATGCATATTTTTCGGAGTTAATTGTTTGAGCTAAGAATTTTTTGTCGATTGTATTTATCATTCATTGTTTTATTTTATTATTATTTTAAAAACTTGTCATCCTTTTGTGTTAAAATGACGTTCACCAAAATATATTTTGATTGCATTATTTTTTTTATCATTATTTTTCCATTTGTAATATGTGTTTTAAATGTTAAAATTTTCTTTTAGTTTTAATAACTGTATGTACTCGAACTTGGATGTTGTAACACATTTGTTTATAGCAATGAAAAAATGCCTTGTAAAATTATAAACTCTATTTTTATAGATTTTACAATGAAAAATTAGAAAAACAAACCACATATGTAAATGGTCATTAATTATTGAATTTTTTATTTCTATGTAGCTAGTTGTAAAAACATTTCAACATAAAAGGTAATGAAATGATAAATAATATAATATATCTACGATATAAAATTTATGATATGATTATAAATGAAACCAGTGTGTTTTAGGTTCCTCGGTAGAATAATAAAATCGATTAATAATTTTGAAAATATTATACATTTATATAAATATATATATATATTATAATGTTATATTTTATCGCAATAGCCGTGCCATTGCGAATGTCAAGTGTATGAGTAATAATAAGGTAATTTATTGTGTGTTCGATGTGGATCCTGGAAAATGTATATTATATTTGTTATTTCTTTTTTATTTGTTCTATCCGCCAAAGAAGATTGTCGAAAACTGAAAATTTTGGTTGGCATAAAAACATCATAATACCAAAATATAATAAAATATTTTTATTGTTTTTTTTGTCGTTTGATTTTCAATGAGATGTTTTAAATAAATGCATCATCATGTATATTTTTATATACACGCGAAGATATTCGAATAACATTTAGCTTTTCTAGTAAATCATTTTGTAACAAATTTATTTGTTTATTGATGTTTACTGATATCATTTGATGTTTTTGTGTGTGAATAGACTATTAATTTAGAAGCAATATTTGAGTGACTACATGTTATTATACTTAATACATCTAAAACTACTTTTCGTAATAAATACTTTTTACGTTTTACATAATTTTCAATCAAAACTTTTGAAAAAACATTTGAAATATTTTTGTTATTCTAAAAAGTGTACGGTATCAAAACTAATTCATATTAATGTATTAACTTGGATGGAACAAATAATTTTAAACTCAACCACTGATTTCAATTAAATATTCATATTTTGTTAAAGTATTGGAAAAAGTGTTTTGATTTTTAAATTTAGACATCGACGTAAAACGTATTGTATTTATTAAAATGGTTAAATAAAAGGTTTGATTGTAAATCTTCCATATTCAAAACATAATTGAAATAATTTAAGAGGATATTAGACATGGAATCACTAATATCTTTACCATGGGCGTAGCTTAGTATTATTATCTGTAGGGGCTATATTATAGGACTAGAAAAAATTATTCCAAAAACTCCTTATCTTTAGCGAAAAAGAACATTTCCTACAAAAAACAATTTATAGGTGTCTCATTCTTTATCTGGCATTTTATTTTACAATACATAAAAAAAAAACAATGAATTTTGAGTAATTAAATTAAACTAATTTTTTTTTTTTAAATATTTAATAAAATATCTTACCTTCTTTCAACAGTTAATTGTGTTTTGATCAATTTTTCAAAACACTATCAACTTAGCAACAAAACATTATCACTGGCCAACATTTAT